GGAATGAATGGATGAGGAGCTGGAAGGGAGAGGAAGGGGGGATGCGGAGGAGGAGAGGTAGGTTAAAGGGTAGGAGGAAGGCTGAGGAGACGGGGAAGGATTCAAGAGAAGTGTTTTAACGAATGGTTTTAAGACAGGATGGTGCAGCTTTGGCCCTGGCGGGCGGACAAGCACGACCTGGTACTTTGCGTGTACGAGAGGTCAGGTATCCCCAGCCCAGGACCAGGGTCTTGTGCTCTTCCGGGCGGCCTTCCCACTTTTTTCCTTGCAGATTGGCCTGCAAGCGCTCAGCGTGTGATGCCTGCTAGACCTGGTCGAGGGTACCAAGCGTGGTGGGTGACGGAGGTACCTGGTCTGGCGCGCATCGATTTGGGCAGACCACTCAGCCGGGCGCCCACAGCAAAGGGGGGGGACCGTAAGTTACGGGTGGTTGTGGGTGGGGCGTGGTGGGAGTCAAGTGTCCTGGATTCCCGGGCGTCTCTCTGTCGGCCGACTGACTGAACCTCAAGTTCAGGTCTGACACGAGTCACTGACGTAGATGTTGACGACGGAGGTCAAAAATGTTCTGAGATGAGTGTGTCCTTCCTGATCTTTGCACCTCGAAGGATCGGCCGAACAAGCTAACACAGAGGGCAGAGTATGGCAGAATATCGAAGCGAGAACGTAGAAGATGCCGACGACGAGGCGACCACCAGCCCAGCCGCAAACCGTCAAGTCAGCGTCCAGTGGGCGGCGTACCATGTATGCGTGGTAGTGTAAATTGCGTGGAGACGCCTGGCAGTCAGTCCGTGTACGAAAGCCGGGTTGGTTGCTGGCGTGTTTCTCGGCCTGCAGGGGTGGTGATGAATGGAGCAGAGGTGTGGCCGATGCGAAGCTGGGATTGCTGGACGGGCTGAGGGCACAGAACGGGATAGACGTTTGCTGGAGCGAATGGGCGTCGAGACATGGACTACGTTCGGGATCTCTTCCTCTTCGGCCAGGATCATTCAACTTGTTGGTGATCGCTTTCCAGAGCTTGATAATGTGCAGCAACGTTTCGTTCTTGTCCACTCGTTGATTCTCGCTCGTCCTCCCTTTCGACTCCAGCGTCGGCGCGGGGCCAGGAAGAGGGCCAATGGAGCGGAGTGCACGCGAACAGCTATGACGATGGGTGACAGGCGTATCCGCAGGTGGTGGGCTCTTTCGGGCTTCGGTGGAGAGGTCGCAACTGAGGAGAGGTGCAAGCGGGTCGCTGAGTTGTGCCATGCTTCCCAGCGTGTGGCTGATGAAATCCTTTTTTTTATACATGGCGTGTGGGATCAGCTTCAGATTGCGACATGGTGAGGAGGCTTTCGAGATCGTTTTCGCGCTGAACGATTGTCAATCCGTGGCACTTGGGTCGTTTTGTGGTCGCCAATCTATAGTTTGTTGTTTGTTGTCGTCATGTTTGTCAACGATGAGATAAGGTGTTATGAATGCATTGATGCGGCACCCTACCTTAGGCACCTAGGCGTTGAATATTGCCATTGTTGATGCTGTATATCCCACCCGCGGCGGGGCTGGGTGTCGCTTGCCGTAGTGGCTTCTCGCCAGCAACCGATTTACAGAAGGTGCGTCCCCTGAGCCTCTTCTGTGGCAGAAGGCACAAGGCATGGCAGCCACGGACAGGGCAGTCAGGGCCATGCGGACATGGTGTGCACCTTCAGCCACACATCATTCGGTGCAAGCCGCAGGTAGCTGCATGTTATCCAGTCATTGTGACCAACATCCCAGGTACCAGGGTAGGTGGAGAATCTCGATCCGGGTAGGAACAGCCCAATGCGCCAATGCACCATTTCGTCTCGTCTCGTCTCTGCTTTCCTACCCGAACGTCCGTTCCCCTCTTCAGGTGCGTCTCGACGCGAAAACACCACTCGCGCGCGAAGGTGACACGTCCAGAATCGACACGTCTTGACACGTACAATGAGATGCCATTGACCTTCCAGAACCAGCCTACAACCGTCACGGAAGCCCGGTCAAACTGCAATATGGTCGGATCGGCCGTGCGACCGCCCCCCCCCCCTTCCAAGTCCTGTTTATGATCCGCATCTGAGGCCATCACCGTCAGTACTGGATCGTCTGTCAGGGCTAACAGTCGCGTCTCACAGCCCCATCGAACTCTAGGCTCCACGGCCGCGACAGCCAGCAGATGATCGCTTGAAATACATCGACCCAACTGTCTATGAGTCCCCCCGTTTTCCATGAATGCTTCACGATACCCCGCACGCAGCATGCAGGCGGGCCGTCCTACTCCTGAGAAGGACATCGGTCTGCGCTGCCTCATCAGGGCTGATGAGCGGCATCGCCATCATGCTCTCGTCAGCCCAGGGGTTGCCCCAGCATCCCAGCCTCGGACCATGCCCTATTACGCGCATACAGGTACTTGGGCAGTTCTCAGACAAGGCAACTGTAGGCTGGTCACCCGAGTGTTATGTCAGAAACGCGAGACCAGGATTCTACCAACACTTAAAGGCACACATAACTTGAATGGGCCTCCCTGGCGGCCAGTGCCAAGTTGGCAGGCTTGCGGCATCTGGCTCGACATTAGCTCAGGCGGTCTACTGCACTCAACGCGCCCCCCCGGACCCCGGACGTAGCCAATCACTGTGCCCATACGCGCTTCTGCACGACTTCACCAGAACACCAAATTCAATTTAACCCATCATACGTGTCATGGTTTGCAAACCAGGGGCTCGCCGCCGCCGCCACCAGCTCTCAGGCTCCTGCTTTGAATGCTCACAAATCTCACCATCAGAGTCAAATCTATGCATGGCCCGCCGCACCGCGGCCTCAGCTGCACCTCATCTCACTTGTCGCAAGTCTGATCAGCATCATACTGTTCCAGAGGGCAAGCCGATAGTTTGCGAGCTCAGGCCACCGTTTTCCTCGATCATCAGCAAATGATCGGGGCACTTTGCCGCCGAAGAGTAATCGCATCGCGGAATCAGTAGGACAGCGTGTAGCACGAGGTTTGCTCGATGCGACTTCCGGTCGATTCGCCACCGATTGCTGGCTTCTCTCATTTTGTGACGAATTACTGGTTTGCATCCTCAATGGTAGGTAGTTTCCTCCATTTCCATAGACTTGCTTCACAATCGGATAGCCGTCCATTGTCAGTCAATATAAGAGCACGCTCCCGATTATAGGT